CTGCTGCAGATGGGGACTAGGCACGCAGGAAAGTCTGCCTGCTGGACGTCAGCTGGAGAAAGCTTTGCTAAAGGGGAGCTACCCGGCACGATACCCTACTCCCATGTCTTTGCTGGGGCCCCAAAACTCCACGATTTGGTCCTCTTCTGGCCTGACCAACTTGTTTCCAGTACATTAGGGGCCAAGGACGAATTTAATCTCCGTCTAGAATAGTCTCAGGTGCACCGGCAAGTTGCAGGAGTGTTGAGAAGCTTTCGTGTCCGGAGGAAGGGCCTGGGTTTGAGTAGGAGGTGCCCTTTACAACCCACTCGAGTTTGCTGCTCTGAAGTCAGCTATTATACTTGGGGAAATGTGTCTCCCCTCCCTGCTTCCCGCCAGTGGGGCTACGTTTTTCACGTTGTAAAAGAGCCAGTTCCCCCCAGACCTAGGCATTTGATTCTGTGAGCTTTACAAAGTTCTTCATAGATACTTTAACTCTTTTGTTAACTAATGACCATCTCATTAAAGGAACACATTCGGAATAACCTTAGGAGTGTGGGAGTGTGGGGTGAATGGAATATTGTTTTAAAAAAAATGACACCTACTTGCCCATTGTTGCTCAGTGGTTGAGCATTGACCTATGAATCAGGGCGTCAGGGGTTTGATTCCCGGTCAAGGCACATGCCTGGGTTGCTGGCTCCATCTCCAGTGGGGGCGCTGCAGGAGGCAGCCAATCAGTGATTCTCATCACTGATGCTTCTATCTCTCTTCTCTCTGAAATCAATAAAAATACTAGTATATACTTTAAAAAGAATGACACTCATTTTTATCTAGTTTTCTGTAACCTCATATCAGAAGCTAAATTGTCAGCCTACAATGTTAAGAAACTGATATTTCTTTTTTTTAATTGACTGTTAGAGAGGAAGGGAGAAAGAGAGAAACATCAATTTGTTTTTCCACTTATTTATGCATTCATTGGTTGCTGCTTCTATGTGCCCTGACCAGGGAAGGTACAACCTTTGCATATGGGGAGGACGCTCTAACCAAGTGAGCTAACGGGCCAGGGCAAAACTAGTATGTTTGTTGTTGTTTTTTTTAGTTTTATTGCATAAGTATTACAAAGGGTTTTACATAGGTCTCCTTTTCCACCCCACCCTTGACAATCCCCTGGCCTCCCCTACCAAAACTGGTATTTCTTAAATAGGCCAAATAGTTAACCACTAGGGGCGTTGGAAGATGAAAAAATACAAAAAGACAAAAGTTGTAGTGTATTGCTTTAATCCTATTATTAAACCCCAATAATTGGTTTATGTTATCCCCAAAACACTCCAGTGTGATTTGAATGAAGCAATGTAGTTCAACCCTGGCCGATTAGCTCACTTGGTTAGAGCATCGTCCCGATAGGCCAAGAGGGCACGTACAAAAAAATCAACCAACGAATGCATAAATAAGTGGAACATCAAATTGAAGTTTCTCTCCCTTCCCCTCTCTAAAAATCAACCAATAAAAAATATTAAAAATATGTAGTTCATAGTGTTAGATTTTAAATATATTTTTATTGATTTCAGAGAGGAAGGGAGAGACAGAAACATCAATGATGAGAGAGAACCACTAGGGACTGAGCCCACAACCCAGGCATGTGCCCTTGACTGGAATAGAACCCAGGACCCTTCAGTTCCCAGCAGACGCTCTATCCACTGAGGCAAACCGGCTAGGGCCACAGTGCTGAGTTTTAAATGAGTGTATATCAGGAACTTCAAAATAAGTGTGTAGTAGAAGAATCCGAAGATGTCCAAACTGCTTAATTTACAAAACAGGAACCCAAAACTCAGAGAGTTTTGCACGGAGTTACTCAGCAAGTCTGTGATAGAACAGGAACTAGAACAGTTGCCTGCATAACATTTTGCATTGTTCTGATTGAAGTTCTGCATTTCCTTTGTAGCTTTTCCTCCCCTGAACCAATTTAGGAAAAAGACAATCTAATTTGTATGGCTGCCAAATAAGAGGAGCAAACTATTTCCACTAATTGTCCTTAAATAGATTAACGTAAATCCATTCCTGGTTTCTCCTGGAGCAGTTTTAGTTCCTCTCTAATAATTAGCAAGATTGAAAACAAAAAATTCCCGTGTCTCCTCTAGGCGTCATGGGACAAACAGGGTTCTGGGTCTCCCATAAGAACATTGGGAGTGAGCACCAAAGCCCCATCGAAGCAAGTCTAGCCCCACAGGGGTGTCTCCAGCAGAGAAGCTCTCCCACTGCAGACACAGCTGATTCTCACAGCCAACTGGCCTGGAGGTCAGTTCCTCACAGTGATAACTACAACAATAAAGGCTTATGCCAAACCGGTTTGG